CCACAAAGAATCTTCCAGAAGCTGCCGTATACCAGTGACTTCTCAGTCTTTCACAGACCACCAGTTTTCTCTCTGGTGACCATTATTGACACTGCCACTTGTGCTCATACCGCTCTAGGCATCATTCCCAACCTCCCAGTCCGCCCGGAAGGGACCATTGTGGATCCCATTTACAGATGGGGAAGCTGAGGCACAGAGCGATTAAGTCATCTACTACCAAGGTTACATAACTGGAACATGACCGAGCCAGAAATTAAACCAACCAAGATGAAATGCTTATGAATAGTGGCCACCTATGTCCCACCTCCACTCCATTCTAGCCCTCATTATAACCCACTAAAGAAGGGATTTGCTGTACTCAGTTTTCAGATTGGCCGTAGCAGATATGAGGAGATGGAGCTGAGTTTCAAAAGAAAATGTGAAAACTGAGGAACCCTGAAGCCCTTCATCTTACTGCTGCTTAGAATCCCCCAGCAAGGAGCTGGAGTTTTGACTGAGATTTCTGTCTCTTCTGGACAGGTGGTGGCTGGGGGTGTTGACCAAGATTTCTGACCCTTCTGGACAGGTGGTGGCTGGGGGTGTTGACCAAGATTTCTGACCCTTCTGGATAGGTGGTTCAGTCCCAAAGAAACACATAGAGGTCTACATTAATCATAAACTGGTTGGCCTATTAGCTCAGGCTTCTTATTAACTAATTCTTACATCTTATATTAGCCCATAATTCTTGTCTGTGTTAGTCACGTGGCTTAGTACCTTTGTCAATGAGGCATTCTCATCTTGAGTACTTTGCATCTGGGTGTCAAACTGATTCTCTCTTCCCAGAATTCTCCTGTTCTCATTGCCCAGCCTCTATTTCCTGCCTACTTGATCCACCTCTACTTCCTACCTGGTCGCCCCACTTATACTTTCTGCCTGGCTACTAGCCAATCAACATTTTATTAAAATACAAGTGGCAGGGTACAGACCATTGTCCCACAGCATGGGGCATGGCTCAACTGTAGAATTTAGAGTTTTGATACTGGGAAAGACAATATCCAGATTCTCCCAGGAGCCTCCAGGGCAAGCCAGCTGGCCCATTGATTTGAGCCTAGTGAGACCCCATTTGGAACTTTTGATCTACAGAACTGTCAGATAACCAGTTTGCAAGAGTAGCTGTAGGAAGCCAGCCTAAGCATCATAAATTTGGCTAATTTTGAATTTTATATTGATAGCATTTTGTGTAGACAGTGTGTGTGTGTGTGTGTGTGTGTGTAAGTCTTTCTGTGCTTTGAGGAGAGAAGGGGAAGGGTGCTGAGGGACAAACTTGAGTTTAGATAGCATTTTGTGTAGACACACCTGACCTCTGTTGATTTTGTTATTCTTTTCTTGTTTGTCAATGAAAATTTGATTTTTCTTTTTTAGTTAGTCTTACACAGCCTAGGCTGGCCTCAAACTCACCAGGAAACCAAAGGTCTCCTGCCTCTCATGTCTTGAGTGCTGGGATTGCAGGAACATGCTACCTCCTACTTTTGTGAGGTGTTTTGTTTTTATTTGCATGTGTAGTGTACATAACTCTGTATGCATGTTTACTTGTGTGTATGAGTGCACACATAAATGTGGGCATGTGCATATAGGGGCTCTTGGTTGATTTTATGCACCTTTCTAAATTCTTCTCTGTAAATGGAGACTTATTTTTGTTTCCCGGCCACCCAGACCCAAATAATCACACAAAAACTATATTAATTGCAACATTATTTGGCTAATGGCTCAAGCATATTCTTAGCTAACTCTTACATCTTAAGTTAACCCATTTCTATTATTTTATATTTTACCATGAGGTTTGTGGTTTGTTACCTCACATCTTGCTTCTTGGGCAGTTACATGGCATCTACCTGACTCCATCTTGTTTTTTCCTGCATTCAGTTTAGTTTTGCTGCCTGGGTATATTCTGCCTTGTTACAGGCCAAAGCAGCTTCTTTATTAACCAATGGTAATAAGACATATTCATAACATACAGAGGGGAATCTCACATCATCTCCCCATTTCTGTCTAAATAAAAAGGAAGATTTTAACTTTAACATAGTAAAATTATATGTAACAAAACAGTTATCAAGCAAGAATTATAGTTACAATATTTAGTACATTTACATTTGACAAATTAAGGAAAATACTTTATCATCTATCCTATCTTTGTGAGTCTAAAGTTTTATATCTAATTTATCTTTTGTCGTAACTAAAAAACTAATTATAACTATCTAATCTTCAACGCCATCACGACCCCAAGGATATAATATTACCTAAGTAAGCAGGAAGTGCATTGTTAGCAACTTCCAAAACTCTAAAATTGACAGAGACATCTTGCTGCCTGTACAGTCACCCTGGACAGCATACAGAGGGGAATCCACATCAGTTCATTACCTTACTCATCCATGCAAGGTCTTTTTCTGGACCTGAACTTGCTTTTTCAGTCCTTCTGATTAGCCAGCACACTCTGGGAAGCTCCTGCCTTCACCTCCTATGGGGGGGGGGTTAGCCATGCCCATTCTGGCTTTTATGTGGTTCATTCTATTAAATTTCATCTTGAAAGAAAAGAAAAGCAAAACAACTGCCCCCAACAAAACAAAATAAACAAAACCAAGCCAGTAGACATCAAACCTCAGTTAAGCGGATTCATCACTGTGACAAAGCATATATCAAACAATTTAATGGACAAAAGATTTATTCTGCGTTTCTACTTGGAAGGCATCATTACATCATGTGGAGGGTGTGGTGGAGCAGAGCAGTTTGAGACACTGTGGTCAGGAAGCAGATAAAAAGGATTAGAGGCAGGGCTCAGGCACAATGCAGCCCCAAGAATATGCCCCACAGCCTCCAAGTTTCCTACTTTTTTCTGTATTCTAACATTGGGGATCATCAAAGATGAACCACTGAGTCAGAACTTCCAGGATCTAACCATGGAAATGCTTTCTCAGACAAACCCAAGGTATTGTTTACTGACTTTTAAAAGATTTATTTATTTTTATGTGTGTCTTAGTCACTGTTCTATTGCTGTGAGGAAACACCATGGTCAAGGCAACTTATAAAAGAAAGTTTTTTTTTCTGAAAAAATAAACATTAATTCAGAGAACAAATAGAACAAAGGAATCAAACAATAATAAAAGGAAAACACTGAAAGTCTACAGAATTAAAGAAAAATCCTTTGGTTTCTTATTAGTCAGATGATGCAATTGTACTGTGATTTTCTTTATGTCCAATTAAATATAAAATAGTAAGAAAAATATTGATCTGTAATGTTGAAATAGAAATATACTCCATACCTATTATTAAATGTGGTAAAAGCCAAATAAATGCATATATTTGTGAAAATTATTATAGGAAGTTACTTTAAACAAACAAACTCGTCCGTGTGCTTAGTGAAATGTCTGGAAGAGTACACACCCAACTCTAAGAAAGTCTTCTTAGAAAGAAGGAAGGAATCAGGGTCGCTGTAACAAAACAGAATGTCAGTGCTTGTTCTAGGTAATTCTTTACTGTTTGACTTTTTTTTTCCACATTTAGGCAGAAGAATTTTTATTTATTTTTTGTATTTAATTTTTATACTTTTTGTTTCACTAACATGTGGAATATACTTAATCCCTTAACTTCTTTAGTTGTTCCTGTTAGGCGATGACTTGCTAACCCGTTCTATATACTCTGCTGACACTCCCAAGTCCATTTCCATGTCCCAGTGAAAACAGGCCTGTTTCTGTGGCACACATGGTGCACTGTGTACTCTACATTAGTTGTTCTTACTCTCATCAAAGTAATTATAATCTCTACATCCAAATATGTCCAGTCATTATAGCCATGAATGACTTTTCTTAATGTTGCTGTAGCATGTCCAGCTCTTCTACCACTGCCTAATCACTCTTCTTTTCTAAAAATTGATTTTATTGAGATATACATTTTTCTTTACCCCCTCCTTTCTCCTCCCCTCCCCTTCAACCCTCTCCCGGGGTCCCCATGCTTTCTATTTACCCAGGAAATCTCGTCTTTTTCTACTTCCCATGTAGATTAAATCCATGTAAGTCTCTCTTAGTGTCCTCATTGTTGTCTAGGTTCTCTGGGATTGTGATTTGTAGTCTGGTTTTTCTTTGCTTTATGTTTAAAAACCACTTATGAGTGAGTACATATGATAATTGTCTTTCTGGGTCTGGGTTACCTCACTCAATATGATGTTTTCTAGATCCATCCATTTGCCTGCAAATTTCAAGATGTCATGTTTTTCTGCTGTGTAGTACTCCACTGTGTAAATGTACCACATTTTCTTTATTCATTCTTCGGTCAAGGGGCATCCAGGTTTTGGCTGGGACAAACAATGCTGCTATGAACATAATTGAGCACATGTCCTTGAGGTACCATTGAGCATCCTTTGGATATATACCCGAAAGTCCCAAAAGTGGTATTGCTGGGTCTTGAGGAACTAAAAGAAAGTATTTAATTGGGGCTTGCTTACAGCTTCAGAGGGTTAGTTCATTGTCACCATGGCAGGGAGTGTGGCAGCAGGTAGGCAAGCATGGTGCTGACCTGTAGGCAGAGGGACACTGGGCCTAGAGTTGGCATTCCTTCTCCAAAAGCCATAGCTTCTAATTCTTCTTAAATTAAAAGGTCCACCAACTAGGGACCAAACATTCAATATGAGTCTATGGAGGCATTCCCATTCAGACCACCACAGTGTGTATGGGTGTTTTGCCTGCATGTATGTCTGCACACCACGAGTGCAGTGCCTGTGAGAACCACTAGAGCTGGAGTTGCAGATGGTCATTAGTTGCTGTGTAGTTGCTGTGCAGGAGGCGGGAATTGAACCCTGGTCTTCAGGAAGAGCAGTCAGTGCTCTAAACCACTGTGCCTTCTCTCCAGTATTCCTCTCTTCTGACATTCCTTCAAGTAAAATGCTCTGTGGCTCTGGATGCTCAGCCTCTTCCACTGTATACACACTTCTAGTTGAGTTGATCTGCACTTATCTGATTGTGTCTCCACAGCATGTTGTTCAGCTTCAACGAGTGGCTATGGCAGGAGAAGTACTGGTTACCACCCAACAACACATGGGCACAGCTGGAGGACCGAGATGGCCTGGTGTTCGCCCACCCTCACCACATGCTTGCTGCCTTGCCAGTGGCTCTGGTTCTGGTGGCTGTGCGTATTGTCTTTGAGAGGTGAGTGCCATGCTGTGGCTGGTGGAGCCCTGCATTTGCATGCATGCGTGCATGTGTATGTGTACCATGTACATGCAGGTGCCCACGGGTCAGAAAATGGTGTCAGATTCCCTAGAGGTGGTTCTGAGCCACTTGGTTTGGGTGCTGGCATCTAAACTACATTCCTGGAAATGCAGCCAGTGCTCTTAACTGCTGAACCACCTCTCTAGCCCCTTGAACATCTTGTTTTCCTGCCTCTACTTCTTAAGTGTTTTATGATAGGCATCTGCTACCACTCCCAGTTCGTGCTCCGCAAGCATTCTGCCATCTCAGTCACATCTCCAGACTTCTGCAATTCTTCTAAGGTTGTGTTTCAAGGCAGAGCCCTTGGTCTATCTCAGGAGGATCCCATTTTAGGTTCAAGCCCTAACCAGAAGTGCATCTTGGTTACAGGCAGGCATATGGTCACATCCAGGGTTTTGCATGGGTGTTGGGGATTTGAACTCATGTCCTCATGCTTGTGTGGTAAATATCCTTACTGAACTATCTCCCCAGTCCCTTCATATACTTTTGAAGGCTCCTCTGCCATATACAACTCTAAGATATCTGCATGTCTTTGCTCAATTCTTGATGCCAATATATGAGATGGAACTACTCTTAGTCCCATCCTTTACAAAGGAAGAAATGGAGATACCGAGCGCTTTAGTAACATGTCTAAGTAACATGTTCAGTAACATTTGTAGATCAGCTGGGTGTATAGGAATTGTGGGAAGCTCAGTTTAGATAGGCCTTGAAAGAAGGGGTTGCTTTCCCATAGGAGTTGGGAAAAATTGGGATGGGAGATGTCTTAATTAGGGTTTCTATTGCAGTGACAAGACACCATGACCATGGCAGCTCTTATAAAGGAAAAGCTTTGAATTGGGGAGGCTTATATTTTCAGAGGTTTAGTCCATTATCATCATGTGACGTGGTGGTGGCTTGCAGGGAGACGTGGTGCTGGAGAAGTAGCCGAGTGTCCTACGTCTTGCAGGCAGTAAGAAGTGACTGAGACACTGGGTGTGGCTTGAGCTTTATGAGACTTCCAAGCCCACCCCCACATGACACTCCTCCTCCAACAAGGCCACACCTCCTAATGAACGGTACTGTGCCTGACTTTACCACTGGAGCCCAGATGGGTGTATTTTTCACATTTAAGTGGTGATCTTAGGCTGGGCATGGTGTTACATGACTGTAGTCCCAGCATTGGGAAGGCTGAGGCAGGAGGATTGCCAGTTTGAGCATAACCTGGACTGCATAGGGAGACTGTAGCAAGCAAGCAAGCAAGCAAGCAAGCAGACATGATAAGAGTGCTAAAGTGAGCCTGATCATAGCTTGGACTTCCCCATGTGGGGTAAGTACTCAACAGAGACTGGTCTCCCTTGCTCCACCACCATGGTATCTAACTGGAGTTCTTCACTAGATGGATCTAGGCCTCAGGTTTCTTTTTTAAAAAATTATTATTTTATTTTATTACTTAAAAAAAATGCCAATCCAAATTTCTACTTCCTCCCTTTTTTCACTTTCCTCCCACTCCCTCCACACACCCTTCCCCCCACCCTCTCCAATCCTAAGAGAGGGCAAGGCACCCTGCCCTGTGGAAAGTCCAAGGCCCTCCCCACTACATCCAGGTTGAGCAAGGTATACATCCAAAGAGAACAGGATCCCAAAAAGCCAGTACATTCAGTAGAGACAAATCCCAGTGCGTCATTGGCCCTTCAGTCTGCCCCAACTGTCAATCAAATTCAGAGGGACTTCTTTTTCTTTTTCTTTTTTTTCTTTCTGGACTAGTTTCTTAAATGAGGTTTAGAATGCTAGAACCCTGGAGATGGCGTTCAATCTCCATTTGTGGTCTTGGGGCTCCCTCTTGTGGGCAATGTGGGCACTGATTAGTCAGGTACTTTCCCTGCAGTAGGGTTTGCATGGTATCAGACTTAACCCGTGATGCCCCTCCCTTGAGGAGCCTCATGCAGGGAGACTAAGACTCAGAGGACTTTTGTTCTGGTTAAGGATGGATGAAGGAACCTGGGTTCCCTGTGAGTTGGCCTGAACATCCCTATCCTGAAGATGATGCTAGTCTCTTTTCCTAGGTTTGCTCCAGGGACTGTGGCTGAGAGAAGTGGTAGAAAATTTCCTTCCTGCGTGGGCGTTTTGACTGTGTGCTTCCACACCCTCTGTTCTGTAGATTTGAACCATACATGCTGATGAGGCTTGCCTGAGCCTCAGGTTCTCTCCAGTTCCTCTTGCTATGGTCACATCCCATTCATTTGAGTTCTACTGGGTTCTGTCTCCCTTGCACTCAGATTTGTGGCCTTGCCCCTGAGCCGGTGGATGGGTGTGCAGGATCAAATGAGGAGGCAGATGAAGCCCAACCCGGTGCTGGAGAAATACTTCCTCAGGATGGGGCAGAGACCTGTGGAGGTGAGCCCCCATATCCTCTTGACATCCGCATGGTGGTACCCAGGGACCTGGCAATGGAAGTCCTTTGTAGCACTTATTGGAGGTTGCACAGGGACCTTGAACTCACCCATAAGTGCCCCCTTCCTACATTCAATCTGAGTCCACAGATTCCCTGGTACATGAGACTCTACCCCTCATCTCCTGGGATGTGAAGCTCCACCTCTCCCTGCTGTGCTAAGACTAGCAGACCAGTCATATCCTCCTCAGGCTCCCTGTAGCTTGGAACCACATCTCTTCCAGGATGAGACTGCCCTTCCTAGTCTCAGTTCCCTAGGTCTTGAAGCCCCATCCCTCATGTCTTTCTGAGATGTGAGGGCACACCCCTCATCTCCCTGAGCCATGAGGGTCTGCCCCCTTTTAGGCTTCCTGAGTTATGAAGTCCCACCCTTTCTGGTCTCCCTGGGACCTGGGGAAGTGTTTTAAAGATATCAAAACTTGAATCTGCCCCTTCTTAGACTTTTTGAGACATGAGGCCCTGCCCCTTTTGGTCTTCCAGAGACTTGAAGGAATTATCCTTCTCAGGTTCCCCAGGGTTTGAAGCTCTGGTACTCACAGCCTTCCTGGGTCATAAGACCCTGCACCTTTAGGTTTTTTGGGACTTGAGACCCTGATGATCCCAGACTTCTTGGGACTCAAGGTCATAGCCCTGCTAGGCTTCCTGGGATATGAATCCCCACATCTCTTAGTGTGGGACATCAGCCTTATGATCACTCACCAGACAGATTCTGGGATCACAGAAGAGTAGGTTTCTTCCCTGTTCTGGAGAGGGACAAGGTGTCTGTTCCAGTGGTTGGAATACTAGAAGCTGTCCTGTGACTCTGCTTCTATTCCCATCCTTGGTGGGGCTACCCAATTGGCTTGGTCTGGGCCAGGTTCTCTAGGGTAAGGTGCAAGTGAAGTCTGTGTATCCTGGCTGGGGATAGAGTAGCTTGTTTGTTTGTTTTTGTTTTTTGAGACAGGGTTTCTCTGTGCAACTCTGGCTGTCCTTGAATTTGCTCTGTAGACCAGTCTGACCTTAAGCTCACAGTCTGCTGGGCTCTGCCTCCCAAGTGCTGGGATTAAAGACATGCACCGACAGCCTGGCTGGCAGGTTAGCTTCTATAGAGCAGAGAGCTAAATGCCTGCCTGGGGTAGTAGCCTAGTCTGCTTTCTGTTGCCGTGCTCAACACTGAATGCAAGTTGGAGAAGAAAAGGTTCATTCCGAATCACACTTTCAGGTAACAGGTGATCACTGAGGAATGTGAGGGCAGGAAACTGAGGCAGGAATTGAAGCAGAGGCCATGGAGGAATACTGCTTACTAGTTTGCTACCTCTGGCTTGTACTCAGCCAGATTTCTTAACACAGCTCAGATTCATCTGTCTAGGGGTGATACCTCTCCCATCAGTCAATAATCAAGATAATTCACCAATGACATGGCCATAAGCCAAACTATTCTGGGCAGTATTGAGATGCCCTTTTCCAGTTGATTTTTGGTGGTGACAGTTTGACAATAAAAATTAAGCAGCGGGTAGGGTGAGACTCAACTCCCCAAGAGGCTGCAGGAAAGCCTGCCTCTCATCCTCATAAATGTTCTTCTTGTGCTGGGGATGAACCCAGGACTTTGTTCATGCTAGGCAAGCACCACAGAGCTGTATCCCCCGTTCTCTAGTCTCATTCTTGATGCCAGGCTCCACCAGTGACCTGTGTGCTGTATAAGCAGGACCAGTGTTCTGGAGGTCTCTCTACCCATACAACCTCTCTTCCCTCCCACTATAGTGGATATGGCTCTGTGGGAAGGATCTTGAGCTTTCAGAGGGGAGTGGGGTAGGAATCAAAGTGGGACCCATGCATCTGGGGACAAAGGTAGGAAACCAGCACTAGGCCACTGTAACCCTTCTCCCTCATTATCCTCTGCTCAGACCCAGATGGTCCTCCTGGCTGCCCAGTGTGGTCTCACACTACGGCAGACTCAGCGCTGGTTCAGAAGACGTCGGAACCAGGAACGTCCTTGCCTGTCCAAGAAATTCTGTGAAGCTAGGTAATTATGGGGAGGTAGTCTTTCTGAATGATAAGGCCCCACTCCTAGCCTGCCTCAGTGATGAGATCCCATCCCTTCAAATCTGTCTGGATAATGAAGCCATGTCACTCTTAGCCTGTGGGTGATGAGGGTTCACCCCTCCCTAGCCTCCTTGTCACTTGAGGTCCTTCCCTTCCCAGACTCCCTGAGATGTAAGGCCCCACCCTTTTACAGTCTCCCTGTCCGGTGAAGCTCCACCTCTGGGGCCTGGACACTGCTCTTTTGGCAGCTGCCTCACTAGCTTCCTCCCCCTCTGCAGCTGGAGGTTTGTCTTCTATCTGTGTTCCTTCGTGGGTGGCATCTCTGTCCTCTACCATGTGAGTAAACCTGAGGGTCACCTATCCCACAACCACAAGCTTACTGAAGACCTTCTTGCACCAGGAGCTGGCCATCTGCAGTGAATGAATCTGCTGGGGAGGAGAGGGAGGCAGAACTGGAACAAGCAGGAGAGAGCAGGGCTGAGCTATGGTCGGGGAGAGAGCAGGGCTGAGCTATGGTCGGGGAGAGAGCAGGGCTGAGCTGTGGTGGGGAGAGAGCATGCTGTCCTACTTTCTTTTTCTGTTGCTGTGATAAAATTTCCTGAGAAGCAGCTGAAGGGAGAAAGGATTTATTTTAGCTCATGGTTCGAGGCAGAGGAAGTAGCTTGAGGGAGTTGCTTATATTCCTAGTCAGGAACAGACAGCAAGGAATGCATATATGTTAGTGTTCAGCTCACCATTTTTCATTCAGCCCAAGGCCCACTTCATGAAATAGTGCTGTCCACATTCAGGATGAGTCTTCCCATCTCAGTTAACACAAATAGGAAAAGTGTCTCATGTAGACATATGCACAGACCAACCTTATTAAGATAATCCCTCATTAGACCACCTTCCCGGGTGATTCTCAGTTGTGTCAAGTTGACAGTTAAAACCAACCCTCAGATTTCACACTCAACAGCTGTGGGCAGACAGATAGTGCATTTGAGGACCATGTGAGCTACACAGTGAGACCCTTGCTTGGAAAGCACAAAAGCAGGGCAGAGTGAAATCTGTACATGGAAGGCTGTAGACGTCCTGGTTGTGGAGGGTTCAGATCCAGGGTAGGAGGCTGGCTTTTGCCTTTGGAGAGCTTGAGATCCTTTGTTCGTTCATAGGAGCCATGGTTGTGGACACTGGCATTGTGCTGGGAAAATTACCCACAGCAGGTGAGTGGCAAGTGAACTGTGGAGAAACTCAGTTCTTGTGGTCACAGGCACGAGAGACCCTGCCCCACTCTCTGCCTGTATGACGAGGCTCCGCCCCACTAGCTGCCTGTATGATGAGTCTCTGCCCCACTAGCTGCCTGTATGACGAGGCTCCGCCCTACTACCTGCCTGTATGATGAGGCTCCGCCCCACTACCTGCCTGTATGATGAGGCTCCACCCCACTACCCGCCTGTATGATGAGGCCCTGCCCTTTTTGTTGCTTGGATGATGAGGCTCCTCCCCTGGGAGAATCTTCATCCAGGTCCCTTCCAGGCAGGGGCCTCCACACACCACAGTTAATCTTTCCTTACCCTGCTATAGACCCTGAATCTGGCCCTGTACTGGTGGTACCTCCTGGAGCTGGGCTTCTACATTTCGCTGCTAATCACTCTGCCCTTTGACATTAAACGCAAGGTGAGTTATGAGTTACACGTCAAACTGGATGCCTGGGCACCATGGTGGAGATGCCTCCTAATCTCTGGGGAGAGGCTGAAGTGGGATGAATTGGCCTCAGTATTGCACTATGAGGTACTCTTGGTTCTTGGCAGAAGGTATGGGATCCAGAGGCCTTATAGATCTCCTGAAAAGGCTTGCTTCCAGGCATGGGGCTCTCCAGCCACAGAGGCTTGTCCCAGTGGTGACCCATTGTCTTCTGCAGGACTTCAAGGAGCAGGTGGTGCACCACTTTGTGACCGTGGGGCTGATAGCTTTCTCCTACAGCTCCAACTTGCTGCGCATTGGCTCTGTGGTGCTGCTGCTGCATGATTGCTCCGACTACCTGCTGGAGGTGGGTTCACCTCTACACTTGCCCTGCCAACCCTACTATTTTCCTGGCCATGGATAGTAGGCCCTGCCACAACTGGGCTATCTGATAGACCCCATCTCTCCTAATCTGCTAGAGTGATGATGCCTTAACCCCTCAACCTCTCTGGGAGGTGAACCCTCAGTTTTCCCTCTTTAGTGTCCCAGCAACGTACGACCCATTTCCTCTTGGTCTCTCTGGGACAGGAAGCCCTTATCCCTGTCTGACTCATTTGGATGTGAGACCCTGCCTTTTCCAGGCTTTCAGGAACTGAGGCACCATGCTCCAATCTCCCTGGAGATGAAATACTCTGTGTTTTATTCTTGCCACTCTCTCTGTTTTTTGTCCTTCCTACATAGATCTGGAGATACAACCTTACCTCAATCACTTGCTCCCCCCATAGCTTCTTGTCCCCAAGTAAAGGATTCCCCCTTCTCTGATCTACCACTTTCCATGGATTCTTGGTCCTAAACCTATTTCTCTTTGCTGCTCTCCCCAGGCTTGTAAGATGTTCAACTATTCCCACTTTCGGCGAGTGTGCAACGCTCTCTTCATCATTTTCTCCTTGGTCTTCTTTTACACTCGCCTCATATTCTTCCCTACCAAGTGAGTCCCGAGGGACAGGGAGATGGGAGGGTGTGCTCAGGGTCCAGGAAGGCCTTACCCTTGGTGCTATACCTCAGGGAACTGGAGGTGTTGGCTGAAGTTTGTCCAGGAGGCAGGAAATGGTGTGCCTGGCCAAAGCACAGCATATGCAAAGGCCCAGAGGTCAGAGAAACAGAAACTGAGTGCAGTACTGATGCAGTGCACTCCCAGGACAGGAAGAGAGAGGAGGAGGCTGTCTGAGTCCCTGGACACTAAAATTGTCTAGTAAATATTTTTTGATATTTGTTGAGTCTCTGAACTGTGTTAGAAGTGAAGAAATATCAGAGAGCAATGCAAGTGTCTGCCCTGGAGCCAACTGATAAGGGTGAGAAAAAGGATAGACAGGCAAGCAACAGACCACAAGTCATAAGGGACTGATAGCACTGAAGAGAAAATAAAACTAGGAAGTGTACAGGAAGCAGGCCTTGTAGGCAGATGGCCTTAGATTAGTCCCTCTTCAGGGGTATTTCACTGATAGCTGTTGTGTATAGAGAATGAATGGGGCTCAAGAACCGTACTGATCACAGAGGAAGATGGTCCAGGTGGAGAGAGCAGCATGTGCAAAGACTCCGAGACTTGACTGTGTTCCAGTCTTGGAATAACAGAAATGAGTTGATGTGTTTGGAACAGAGAGAAGGATGAGGTGCATGCAGGTGGGTGACCAGGGGAAGTAAGGAAGGATTCTATGAGATGTTATCTGCAGGGAGGTGGGAGCCATGGAGGACTGAGGCAGATGTGGGAAACTGGGGCAGATGAACCAGAGCAGTCGAGAGGAGATGACCAGAAGACACCAGCAGGACTAGAAGAAACTTCAGGAGGCATCAGGAGCCCAGCTGCTCCGTGCTGGTTTTGAGGGCCTTATGCTCCTTGGTAGACATGGAGGCAGATGGCCTGTCAGGTTGGGCTTACTGGAAGGGTGGGCATGTAAATGCAGGAGTTGCCAGCTTGTGGCAGGCATTTGCAGCAGGGGGCTGGGCAGTGTCATCTGGGGCTAAGGTCTGGCTACAAGCCAGTTCCTAGAGCTCTCTGATTTTTGTTGGAGAGTGATGGAGAAGTTCTGAGAGCTGAAGACTGGATCAGTAGTGAAGTTCAGTGATAAAGATCTTGTCTAGTGCCTCTTAGTCCAGGGTTGGGCAGAAAGGAAGGAGTCAGAGAGATGAGAGAGAAGTAAGGGGAAAAGAAAGAAAGTAAAGGGAGAAGATGGCTAATAATATGGAGCAAAAAGTGAAAATGAAAGGAGAAGAAGATGAAAATAGATGAAAGGAAAGACTAAAGAAGGGAGTGGAAGTTGGTGAAGAAGATGGAGGAGGAATGTGGAGGAGGGAGATGAGTGTGGAGGAGGGAGAGGTAAGAAGTGTGGAGGAGGGAGGAAGGAGAGAAGAAAGAGGAAGGGAGAGAGTGCAGAGGAAGAGGAGGCAGAAGAGGCAGTAGAGGAGAGGAGGGATAGGCATTTGGGCTCCTAGAAGTCATAGGAGCCTCGGGGAAAGGAAAAGAAATAGCTAGGGACAAAGATTAATCAAGGGGTTGTGGTTGGATTTTTCTTTCTCGCATATGACATAGCAGCAGGGTTAGTTTTGATGGTAGAGGATATGTGTAGGACACGAGAGCTGTGACCTTGCAAAGAGTCGGTATAGTATGTTTGGGAACATTGTCTGACTGGCATCCAGTGGCTCTGTGAGATGAATAGGTAAGTCTCAGGTTGATGTAAAGAGTCATACTGTATCTGAGGACAGATGGGTAATCATAAAGGGTCACCTGGGAGGGCCAGTGGTACACTAGTTACTGCCTTGGAGTATGTGGTAGAGAAAGGCCAGTTGATACTCTTGTATGCTTCACTGACTTAAGTAGGTCAAGAGAGATAGCATCTCAGAAGGTGCACTAGGGAGGCTCAGGAGCACAGATGATCCATGAAAGTTCCTAGAATGGGGAGCTATACAGACTGGTGAAATTCCTTCTTGCTTCCTGCTTTAGGGTCCTCTACTCCACTCTGTTTGACTCCATCAAGAACAGGAGTCCCTTCTTCGGCTACTATTACTTTAATGTGCTCCTGCTGATGCTGCAGATCCTTCATGTGTACTGGTTCTGTCTTATCCTGCGCATGATCTTCAGTTTCCTGTGGAAGGGTCAGGTATGGAGGCCTAACAGGGTCGGCTCCCAATGCCCGTCCTTGGCTCAGTGCTTTTCGCTATATTCTGAGCTTTGGCCTTGTCTGTTTTCACAGATGGCAAAGGACATTCGTAGTGATGCAGAAGAATCAGACTCCAGTGATGACGGGGCAGTTCCTGAAAGTCCTCAGCTGAAGAATGGGGTGACTCGAGGGTCTGTCCCAGCCATTGCGAATGGCCCACGGAGCCGGGCAGCTGGGCGCCTGGCCAATGGGCACACCCAGTCCACATAGACAACCTAGGACTGACATTGAGGGTTGCCTCCAGCATTGTGGATGGATATCCAGATGCTGGGCTGGTGACCCTGGGAGACAGGGAGGTCCTCCTCAAGGTAGGAAGAGGACTGGTGATCTGTTTCCAGCACTTCCCTTTTTATCTCGTCTCCCTTTATCCCTTTGAGCAACTGGACAGAGCCTGGGGGAGCAGTGGACTCTGCATTTGGCCAGAGCCACCCTCAGGCTGTAGCCTGGGGGCTGTGGGGAGCCTTGGCTCCAAGGACCAATAAAACTTCAACAGAGATGAAGTCTCTGCCTGAGAGTTTTGGTTCCCTTCACAGGTCTTCCTCTCCATTCCTCTGTTGAGAGCATTCCTCACCGCCCATTCCCACACACAGTATCATGGCGTGAAGATATTCCCCACCCCCTAGTCAGTGCCTTAACCATGTTCTCCTCCAGAGTAGCTCTTCAAGAACATTGTTATTAGCTGATAGGCACTGGCTACAGGAAAAATGTTATTAAGTTTAGATGCAGCATTCCTGGTCCAAGTCAGAAGGTAGAGCAGAGACCCAAGCATGTCCTTGTAGTCTCTTGCTTAAAGCAACCTGCAGCCTCACCCTGGGGTCTTTATACTCTTGGGACAGTGGAGACCCAGGATAGTGAAGTCATTGTCTTCAGAAGTGCTCTAGGAAAAGTTCTTCCTCCAAGATGGAAACTTGGTGACCATTGTCACTTAAGTCAGAAATCCAACCACAGGATGTTAGACCATGCTATCTTTAAGAGTATGCAAGAGAAACTGAGTGTCATGGAAGAGAGCAAAGCAGAGACAGTGGGGAGAAGAGGGCCACCTTAGGGGAAATCCAAAAATAAATGCTCTGGGGACAAAAAGCAGAGCCTGTCATGACATCTTATGACTGTCATCTAACACCAGGGAGGAAGAAGCCAACAGACTGGGAAAACACACAAGCCTAATACAAAGCAGGATCCAGTCTCCAAAGAAGCAACGGGAGGGAGTGTCAAGGAACAGGTGCCCAGAAGAGAAAACTGGGCTAAAATCTGAGATCAAAACAACTAAAAGAAAATGGAAAAATGTGCAAAGAATACGGGCCTGCTCTGGGGGTAGAGCAGGTGGTGAGATGACATGTAGGGTTTGTCTTCTTGGGAGATACTGGAGAAAACAGGAGAAATAGAGCTTCTATTGAGAGAATAACAACTCAAGGGGAATGAAAGTTAAGTAACACAGGCAGAGATTACATAGAGACTTTTGAAAGGACCAGGAAGATAAGACAACAGAAGGAAAGGAAAGGAAAGGGAATAGGGAAAAGAGATGAAAGGGAGAATAAGGGGAAAAGGAAAGGAGAAAGAGAGAAATATTGTAGGTAGTGCATGGATGGAAAGCCTGGAAAGAATAGGAATGGGCATTTGAGATGGAAGAAAGGTGGATACTGAAGATAAAAACAGCTTTGAGAGAATTTGAGGGTTCGAAACCAGAATGGCTACAAGCCTGAAATCACAGTGCTGTGGATGTTAAGGCACAAAGACCATAGGTTTGATGTTGTGAGTCTTTATCTGTACAGCTACTAAGCTTCCAAATCGTGACAAAGAGACTTATTAATTGTGAAAGCTTGAGCAATAGCTTAGGCTTGTTTTAACTAGTTCTTGTAACTTAAATTAACCCATATATTTTAATCTATATTCCTTTATGTGGCTCAGTTACCTTTACTTTGTGAAGCCCATGCTACCTGCTCTGCGTCTGTGGAGTCTCCTCATGACTCTGCCCTTCCTCTCCCCAGCATTCTCACTGTCCTGAAAGTCCTGCCTAGCTATTGGTCATTTTTATCAAATCCATTAGTGACACATATTAACAGTGCATAAAAGACTGTTATATAACATTTCCCCCTTTTTGTCTAAATAAAAAGGAAAAATTTTTACTCTAACACAGTAAAGCTATATACAATAAGAACAATAATCAGATAATTTCTAAATAGAAAAGAAAGGTATTAACTTTAAAAAATGAAACTCTATACAGTAAAAACAGTTATCAAATAAGAATTAAATTTAAATGCCCAGTCCTTTTATATTTGGCAAATTTAGAGAAAATACTCCTTTATCTATCTTCTCTTGATGAGTCCAAAGTTTTGTACTAATTTATCTTCTATTATAACTAAGGAAAACTGAACTATTCTTCAATTCCATCAAAGACCCCAGAAGGACATAATATTGCCTGAGTGAACAGGAAGTACAGTGCAACCTGCTTTCAGACCTATAGAATTACAGACATCTGGCTGTCTAGACAGTCACTCAAGATCCTCTTCAATGTTGGGACATCTATCTTTACCCTATAGCCCTAGAATATCTGGCAGACTTTTCTATGAAGTAGAAATTTTTAAGGACTGTCCTGCTTTATCTTGCCAAAGTTTGGCAGTCTTTTTCTTTTGTGTTCTGCTTATCCAGTTTTTAAAGCATACTGTCAGCAGTCAAGGCAAGAACAGTTTCTTTGCCCAGTGGCTAAGTTTGCCACAGTGAAATGAAACTCCAGAAGGAATTTCTTCAATGCCCATCATCTTTTCTGAAGTAAGTTGGTGCTGCCAGGAGCAGACATGTCTCACTGTCCTGAAAAGCCTCAGGTTATTTAATCTTAAGTGTCATATTCTGTAAGTCTTTGAAGTGTTTGAAGACCATCTATCTAAATGTATAGGCTTAACCTTTCAAGGTTTTCAAACATACCTAATATGACTACAAGTTTGATGATCAAAGATGACTACTAACCTGCATCTTTTAGTTATTCATTACATTTTTAAATGAGCCGCATAAGAGCAATATCCCAACAAGAGTAGAAAAATAACTCAGTATAACAAAAATAACCTTAAATTTATGTCAATATACAAAAAGTCCATACCAATGTAAAATATTTGAAACAGTGGTTGTTCAAAAGTAAACTTAACAATGCACACTTTTATCCCATCATTTAGCCCAAATATACTGTATTTCTTCTTTTGCCTTCAGAAAGAGATCCCTGAATCTAAACTCTTTTATTTAGCTTTTTCCTTGACCGTGACCAGTGACAATTTGTAACCCCCTCCAAGTGATGAGAAACATCTATAGCTCAACAAATGACCAAAAAAAAAAAAAACCAAAAAACAAAAAACACCAACCCTACCTCTTGGGAATGGGCACATTGTGTTCTCTAATCTGCTTCTTGCTGTCTGGAGATAATGACATCTTTGGGGGACTGTGAGAAAATTATGATAATAGTAAAGTCTTTGTTAGAATAGTCTGTGAGGATGGACCATCTCAACCAGCAGCCTTGAAGCTATTCTGGATGCAGAACGCTGAGGATACTACAACAGAGGCAATCTGAGAGACTGGATCACCTGGGTCATCCATTTTTATTGGTGCCTTGTCCCCTTGCTCTGAAAACACAAACTTTGAAAGGTAACATACATTAACACAAGTATGGGCTATGTGTTGTATACAAGCCCACCAAAGATGTATTGTTTGTTTGAGCAGGTAAAATATGTTTTTCTGTCTTTTAGTTATTTTAGGTTTATTTCTCTCTGAAAGCAGGCTTTTAGGGGGTCTTTCTGATCAAATCTGGTCTCTTATCAATCTTGAATGGATCCACAGCCTTTTGTTTCCTGTGGAAACAAAAGTATAACTTCTTCCCCAAAGCAAGACTTTTCTTTTTAAATTCTATTTGAAAGTTAAGGCCTTCTTAAAGTTTGTAGACTGGTTTATTCAGGGCATTCTTTTTTTTTTTTTGAAAGTAATTTTATTAAATTATAAAAAGTTTCCATTTACGCCCCTCTTCCCAACGCCCTCCCTCTCCTCCTCCCTCTTTGTCCCTAAGGGCAGTCAGGGTTTCCTGCCCTGTGGGAAGTTCAAGTTCCTCCCCCCTCCCTCCAGGTCCAGGAAGGTGAGTATCCAAACAGACTGGATCCCAAAATTCCAGTATATGCAGAGGAAACTAGTCCCAGTGTCATTGTCAATGGCTTCTCAGAAAGACTCCAGGCTAGCCACATTCAGAGAATCTGGCCACATTCAGAGAATCTGGTTGGATCACTTGCTCGTTCAGTCGCAGTCCAACTGGCCTTGGTAAACTCTCATTAGATCCGACCCCTTGTATCAGTGGGTGATAGCATCCCTCGCAGTCCTTCGTCATTTTCTTCCTTCTTCTGCTCCTCATTTGGATCTTGGGGGGCTCAGTCCGGTGCTCCAATGTGGGTCTCCGTCTGTATCACCATCCAACGCCAGATGAAGGATCTATGGTGATAAGCAAAATATTCATCAGTATGGTTATGGGCCAAGGCCGGTTCAGGCACCCTCTCCTCTGTCCAGAGAACAATCTGGGGATCTCTCCTTGGACCTGGGATCCCATATATAATCAAGTTTCCTATAAACTCTAAAATGACTCCCTTAGTTGAAATATATTCTTCCCTGATCCCATATTCATCCTTCCTCCCTTCCCCCCATCCCGGTCAACCGAGCTTTCTCCATTCCTCCCCTACTCCCTTCTCTCTAACCCTCTCCCCTTCCAACAACCCTCCCCCCCCCATGCACCCAAGGTTACCTGGGACTCTTGACTATTTCCTACCTCCTGGCGGATAGCTACATAATCTTCATCAGGTTCGTCTTCTTATTTAGCTTCTCCAGGATCTCGAATAATATAGGCTCAAAGACCTTTAATTATGGTTAGAATCCACTTATGAGTGAATACATACCGTGTTCCTCTTTTTGGGTCTGGCTTACCTCACTCAGTAAAGCGTTTTCTATGTCCATCCATTTGCATGCAAAATTCAAGATGTCATTATTTTTTACCGCTGAGTAAAACTCTAATGTGTATATGTTCCACACCTTTTTTAACCATTCTTCTATTGAGGGGCACCTAGGCTGTTTCCAGGTTCTGGCTATTACAAATAGTGCTGCTATGAACATAGTAGAACAAATGCTTTTGTAGTATGTTAGGGAATCTCTAGGGTATATTCCCAAGAGTGGAATTGCTGGGTCCTGAGGGAGGTTGACTCCCAGTTTCCTGAGAAACCGCC